CACCACACATCAAGCATATATCGTCCCCCACATTCTTGTCCTTTTCTTCGGTGTCTGACTGTCCACTCAAACTTTCTTCATCTTTTTCTCCGCTTTGCGGCCTTGTTTCTTCAGTCTTTTGTCTCAATAGCCATGTTTTTCGTGGCACATTTGTCTGTGTTTCATCGTCTGTAAACACCTGGCGTTTGTAAGTTGGCTTAGGATTATACCTTGGCACTATTTTTTTCCTGTTTTTTCTCTTCTCTTTTACTTCTAAAACGTCTTTATTGGGAGTAGATGTTAAAATAATTGAATGTTGTTTGGTAGTCTTCCTTTTTTTTTTGTTGATGCTACCTGCTCTTTGGAAGTACCAGGTAATTGTAAGATATCCTCGAATGAAGTTGTCTGTTTGTTCTCGATTGTGACAGGGGACCCGCTTCGTGATTGTACTGCAGAGCTTTCCTCCAGCATTTCATTTTGTGTTTGAATTTGACGGAGGTGAGCCGGGGCAAAATCTTCTCCAGAAAATATGTCAGATTATATGGATGTATTCCCGTTGTTTGAAAGCCCTTAATGGTTTTTTCTGGAGTAGCTACCTTCATGTAGGCATTATTAAACAGTTCTGCTAATTCGTATGGCGTTATTTTTGACAAAGGATGATTCCGAAGATATTTGCTATGCTCGTTGTTGAATGCAGATTTTAGAGGCGAATAGAATGTAACATCAAGTGATTGCAGCCGATGCGAAGTGTGAGGCGGCATAGTTACAACTGAGATCCCATTTAATTTCCAAAAATTGAACACCTTCAGCGTTGCATGGGTAGCATGGCTATCCATGATTAGTAAGACTGGATCCTCTCTACTTGGTTTAACATGTTTCTGAAAGCGGTGGAGATACTCAAGGAAGAGCTCTTCTGTGATCCAACCCTTCTCCGAACAAGAATATAATGCACCCGATGGCCCTCCTTTCTGGAGTTGAGCATTCATACGTTTTCTGCCAAATATAAACATTGGGGGACATACAAACCAGCGGCGCTAAAGGCACAGACAATGGTAACATTTTTGCCCCTTTCCCAATTAGTAGCATAACCTTCTTGTTTGAAACCTCTCTGAGCAAAAATTTTACCGGGATTGTGAACCGTAGATATCCCAGTTTCATCCAAATTAAAAATTTTACTCGGACCAAGATTGTTTGCTTAAAAGTTCCTCGAGATTTTTATAAAATCTTCCTACTTCATCCTTGTTAAATCCAGCTATTCTGTTGATACTAGTAGCCTAAGGTTTTCTAACTGAAATAGAGCGATTCCTCCTGAGAAAACCACCTAACCACTCATTGCCAGCAGATTTATTGTTTTTGTTAAAAGCGCAAGCGATTCCATTTTTATTGGCATATTCATATGCACATTTCTTAATTTCTGCTCTGGATATTCCATAAAATAATTTTGACAGCGCTATTACACGTTCTGCCAGTATTTTTTCTTCAGCTTGTGAGAAGACAGTTTTTCGTCCTAGAGTATTATTCTCTTTTGAAGAGTAGAACTTGGGATATTAAAGACTCTAGACACTTCTCTCACTGCTCTGCCTCCTTTAATTGCATCTAAAACAGATTTCAAGTGTTCTCGACTGTAATTAGCTATTGTAGTTTTCCTCTTATAGACCCCTGGCATCTGTATCAACAAAAAATAGTTCAATGCGTCGATATTCAGTTGGTATCTCAAATCTATTGTTATGAACTCAACGTGGGGTAACAGTGGCCGGCCACAAATTCCCCATGTTGACTGGCTCCCATAACCCCAAAAACGGGTATTTTATATAAAATTTCGCAGAAATATCAAAATAAAAGATAATGAGATGTTGTGAGGCTACATAAATCTACATACCTTGAAAATATGGGAAACAGGCAAAACTTTATGAAAGTTTGAAGGTTAAACAATAAATGCGTGATTTTGTTGGGATCACTGCTAATAGCAACTTCCCGCCAACAACATTTTTGTCTAAAAATTCGTAAAGAAAAGCCGGAAACTCTCTAAAGTTTGTCCAATTGTTGAATCCACTTGTCTGCAAATGGCGGCATGGATACTGCACCAGCAATTTTATCCTGTTCTGAGAAAAGCGGTGGCCCCCATTACCCCAAGGGCCACAGTTACCCGCCTTTCCCCTATATTTGGTAGACCTTTTCGTACCTACTTTTGCTCTTTTCCGCCAGCAGATCCTGCCTAACTTCGTTTGCTAAATATTTTAATTCAGGAGGCATTGCAGATTCTGAGTCGCACATTTTCTAATAGAATGATATTTCTTGACCAGATTTCTTCACCTTCAAAACGTCAATCTAATTTTATTCAGAGGCGTTCAGATGTAACTTGATTGTTATAAATAGTCTAATTGTACGTGTGAAAATAAACATTGTGACGTATAATTTTTTTCTAGATTTTCACAAAATTTATTCAGAGGATTGAGAATAAAATAGTAAGTAGTATACATGCCTCGGCGGAAAGTTTCCAACAGCCTCGAACTCACTAACTAACTAACTGTCTCAACTGTAATGAAACACTTTCCGCCTCAGTATATGTTAAAATACTATTTCGTAATCATTAGCCATCGTAATAATAAACAGATATTTATGACATTACTTTCACCACTGACTGAGCACTGGGTATACCAAAATAATGAGTGCAATCATACAGTGGGACATTTATTATATGTATATTCAGATTTTCTTATTTAATACCCATCTTCAAAAAAAAATGCAATTTTTCAAATATTCAATACCTTGCTTTTATTCGTTTTATTCAGTAGCTTGAGGACGTTCGTATGTTCAGTGCAGCTTGTTTTGACAAGCGTTGTAGTAGAAATTTTAGAGATTTTATTACTCAGTTAGAAAACTTTTTCATGTAATACACAAATTAACAATACCAGAAATCTCCAGTATTTAAAGGCAGCATAAATGTTAGGTATCTGGATGTTCAGGATCTGAATTAATACAGATACGTGTTATGACGATATAGTCGTATGTATAAAAATTTGATAATTATTGCATAAGGCATAAGGAAAATTTAATTTTGTATTTGGAATATAATGGAGAAAAGTTTGCTAAAATTATAACAACCATCTTAGAACAATAGTAGAAATAACAGTTTATCAGTTTTCGTTGTTTCTTTATCGTACGTTTTCGTTGAAATATATATTAATAAATAGTTTTTGTCTTTATTTAAAATCGAGAAGGATGGAATAATTCTTATTCCAATCTGCTCGTTTAAAATATAGCTTGCGTAAATTCGACTATCATAAAAAATGTTCATGACTTTACAATTTTGAGAGTGTAAAGTTATTCTTTCGAGGTAGTCAGTTTGTAAGAATTGTGAAAACTTTTCAGTTATTGTTGTTGAAATCATGACGCTATCACATTTTTACATCCCGAGCGTAAGCTAAGGAAGTATTCTAAAAGGCTTCATGCGGCAAATGGGAATTTTTACGTTTTCTAGATGTATAATGACACAATGACCCTAAAATTTGAAAAAAATAGTCCCCTCGTTTCCCTCTGTCTGTCTGCCGTCTGCGGTATATGTTAGTTATATCGTGTTGATGGTAAAACGCTAACTAATATTTTTCTAAACATCCCCATCAACAATTTGATGAGGTCACCTCAATATTCGTTTTTTTACTCGCATCCGCTTGGAGCAGTATCAAGTATATCTCCTCTTAGAAATAGCAATACAAGATCGACGCCGTACAATGTATTTTTATTTCTAAAGCAATTTTCATTATACGAACTTTCACCATAATAAACTACATGTTTACAAAAGCACTGGTTTTAGTTAAATCTTCAACTCAAAAAATTCGCATTAGAGACACCAATGTTTCCTTGGCGTATTCTGTCTTGAAATAAGTGTTTGCAACTTCAGCAAAACATGTGTTTTATTAATCCAAAACTATTATTGTGTGTGAATGATATTTGATAGAGTTATTATTACAAAGCGTTAATATTATTATACGAAAATGTGAGGTTAGGTCATTATTATTATCATTATTAAGGAAATGATCGGGCAGACGCTACGCCTGTTGTACCCTTCCGCGTTGTCAGCTGTCATCGATTAAATTTTAGAATTATTGCAGACATACCTCATAATGTGTACAAAAAAACCGTGCCAACTTGATGACCTTATTATTTCAATTGGACACCCAATATGCGTTTGCATAATATTAGTTAATCTTGGAAAAATATGGTTAACGTGGTGTAGTTGGTTGGTACAGATATATAACTGAGCAACGCTCAGTACTTTGGTATTCAGATAATTTTGTTAGTGGTACTAAACTTACTGATTTCTTAGTCTGAAATCATTTCAACAAAAAATATATAAAAAAAAATACGCTAGACACAGATGCAAGCTAGAGTTATACCATGGACAAATATTAGCTGTGGCTGATGAGACGCAAATATGAAAAGGAGGAACTACTGCAGGTCGGTAAAAACAGTAAAATATACTAAATCACACATTGGAAAACCCTCAAGCGGTGGGCAGATCTGTGGACATCGACCTCCCAAGATGATGATGCTCACCCAAGTTGGACGTTATCATTAAGAAAAAGAAGGAAGCACACAGTAATTGAGAGAAAAAAAGTAAAAAAAGTGTCAGAATGAAATAAGGCTGTTACGACTGCTTTACGGGTTTTAACACGTCGTTATTTATTTGTGCCTGTAAATTATTAACGACAACTAGACACCTGTGAGAAGTTATTAGTGGTTCGAAAAATATTGCAGTCTTCTTTTTATTTATTAACTTAAAATTACATATATTAAATAGACGATATGTAGGGTTTCTAGATCTGTTCTAATAACAGTGTAAATATTTTTTATATTTTAGCACGAATAAATCTTATCTTATCTTATCTTATCTTATCTTATCTTATCTTATCTAATAGCAGACCATTGCTTCTACAAGCTGTAGGCACGCGTTTTTAAAGAGAGACCACATTTGTCCATGATGTTTTATTTTTAAATAAAAATTAAGACAACAATGTAAACTATGTACAAAATTATAGTTTATTATACAACTCGGCTCTAACGCTTTTTACATAATAACAATAATTATTTGGTAAAGTTACAGACAATCACAAAGAATTAAAAGACCCTTTAATAATATCACTTAAAAAATCTTTAAACTTGGACCAGTTCTTTGTGGTGGCGCCATCTGCAATTGGGGACTATACGGAACAGCGCCAACAAACCACCATAAAAAATGGACCATGCAAAAAGAATCGAATTTTCCATTTTCAGATTTTTTTTGCGTTAGAAACAAAACAGATGTTTGGGCTAGTTGGTCCCATACCCTCTCAATCTAAAATGCAACAAAAGAAACTTGATGAGCTTAACAATAAGCATTCTATAGACTAAAGCTGAACAGGATACAAAAATTCCAACTCACGAAGCACGTTAACTAGGGACTGAGGTATAAAATGAATTGGACGCAATTTGAAGTTGGATTGTTTTTTTGACATGGTTTGAATTTGATCGTTTTTTTGATTTATCCAGTTTGGTTATTTAGAGATTTTTTTATTAATTCTAATTTTATTAGTTTGCTTTTTTAAAAAAATTGTCTTGAGCGAAATGCCTCTATTAAACTTTGTCTTTTACACGCAGCTTATTAGTTTAGGTCAAGTTTAGAAATCTGATTGACAACAAGAATTCAGAATTACTGTTTGCACTCCTACGAATAAGTGTAGGAAAACGCAGTGTAATGAATCGGACACAGAGACAGACATTAACATGATTGGCACCTACAAAAATCTCTAAATAACGGATGCATAATACACGACTGTAAATCTACAATGATACAAATTCTCTATCTTAATGCAACATGGGATTATCTGCTCTATTTATGGTCGGCTGTATGAGCGGTTGATGGTAGGTCGTTATATATGGCGCTGGGGCCCTCGTTGCTACAAACCGAGTCCTCAGGAGTCCTGGACGGTTCCGCCTCCGTTGTTTCTTCCTGCTTCTGTACGCGGTGCTTTCCGTGCAAATTCTACATAGGTACAGGAAACATTAATATTAAACGGTAGCTCAGAAATGTGAGGGGAAACTACTGCAAATTTAACAACAAATAACATAATATAAATGTGTTAGGTATTCGCAACGTAATCGCAGGACATTGCATTTTCGGTTTGTTGGGTTATTGGTTAAATCATATTACAATATACCTACATCCGGCTTTGCTCTCGAGTCTTTTACGACCGTAAACCGTAAACTATTTTATTACACCAACATTAAATAAGTTGTAATTAAAATTGAAATTTTAACGGTTCAAACTTATAGTCAACTATAAACGGTTATTTTAACAAATTTATCTCAGGAAAACAGATATTACGTCGTTATTGCAATATTAATGCAATTTGTGTTAGTTACATTTCAATACGGATAACAAAAATAGAAGCAAAAGTGATACTACATACCGATATTCCACGTTAAAAGTACGAACAGTCATGTTCAGTGTGCATCTTTTTGGTTTTATTTCTTTCATACTGAACACATCAAACATTCTATGGAGCTCAGTGACAGTACTTAATACTATAAAGAGTTCCAAGATCTATGACTCAATTATATGTTTTTTGCTAAAAAATGTTATTGCATGTGACACATCGTAAAAAATAATTTAGGTCTGACGGTACTGCTACTTAAAATTTTTAAAATGGTGTGGAAATTATAGTTCTATTTATATATTGAAGTGTGTGGCAGTAAATGCTAAAAATTGCTGATATCCTTGAGTGTTTTCTTTATAATAAAGACTTGAAACACTTACAATTATTAGCAGTAATGATTGAAAATAATCTGAAAAGCCTGTTTCGTTTCTGAAGACCAGCCAGTAGCACATACCTAATACGGTTTGTTTCATTATACTATTTTACAGGGTTAAAACTATCAATTATTTTATTTTATTAGAATTATACATTCACGATTTTAAATATCTTATATACACAAATATAAACATTAAAGATTAAAGGAGTACTAAAACACAAACGATACCGTATCTCAGGGTAAATTCTTTAATATACTTACATTTATTTCAATTTTTTTAATGATGTCATCAGTTTTCTGGAGAGAATGAATAATTAAAATATGGTTAGTATTCTGCATTCACGAAATCAATTTTAATGTTTCTAAAGGTCTTTACACAAATTGGAAGGTTTTGATACTTGGCGGATGCATTTTTTCAAAACAAGGGTAGATTATTACACCACAGGTAAAGCAACATATCACACTACATATTTAAAATAAAATTTATGTAACTGGGAATAATTTCATTAGTTTTTTTGGAAGAGATGAACAGACCAACTTTGATAAGCGTTTTACAAGGACAAAGCTAATGTATATTTAAAATTTTAAAACAGTTGGAGCGGTAGTTTCTCAGATTCAACAAAATCATGGTCAAAAGACAGGCAGACAAACCTCAAAAAGAAACAGTGAAAAAACCAACAGGATGAAAAAATATTAGAAAAAGCAAAATAACTCTATTAACAAAAATAAAAAAAAAACACTACTTTAAAAAGCTTCGAATCTGTATAAACATAAACAAAAAATAGAAAAATACTCTAATAATGTTATAGAAAAAGAGAGCAGAAAATGAGACAATTGTATTCACGAGCCACCTCTTTTAAAATTAAATTAATCTTCTGCTGCAACGACCGACAAGGAGCGAATTATATATTATTAGCTCTATAAAAGGTACCTTACCTACGAGGTGCGCGTTAATTTTTTTTTTTATTTTAATGATGACTTGCCTATTTTGTACTATTTTAAAATTTATTCATATTTACAAAAAAATGTATGTTAGTTATAATAATACATTTTAAAGACTTTTTGTCATTTACTACAATTTTAATAACGTTATCTTTTTTCCGGTTGTGTTATTATGATTACAAACAATAAAACTCTTGAAAAGGAGACCTATTCATTTCAAAGATACTTGTAAAATCTAGTTTAATGTAAAAATACTTAAAAGGTTTACTCTTTCTTGTTTAAAATCAATGTCATATGTCGCCTTGATAGAAAAAGATTTTAGGAGGTAGATATGTAAGAAACTATAAGAGGAAAAGTTTTTTGCTTTTTTGGGGGTTAATATTATAAATAAATAACAATCTAAAGATATATAGAAAAAAGTATGGTCTCTAATACATCGTCAATTATCAGAATTTAACTAAGCAGTAATAAGGATATTTGAAAATAAAATCATATTAATTAGCTAAATGTTTATTTTTAGATGAACCTCAATTTATAACTGAATTTTGGAATTTTCTTAGATACTGTATAATAAGTTCTTAGTTATAAACTGAATTAACGTGCATCAAGTTGTTGGTTTGGTTGACAGAACAACGAATTCATTTAACATATAGTTCGGTGGTCATAAAACTGGCATATGATGCAACTATGTGTTGTTAGGTAACTCTGTAACTGTAAGATTTTCTTTCACCGGAATTAAATTCATCAGTATTAATTAGTGTATGTATCTGGTAAACTGTAAGAAAGTTTTAGGATGCATTTCCTTTTCTTTGACTATTTGCATAAAAGTTGTAAAATGCATTTCCACTGCATAGAGTAAAAAGAACTCTGCAAAAAAATAAAAACGCAAAAAAGATATAGCTGCCAGCTACGCATTATACTCATTGATTTTGTAAAATAACTTTCCATCCTTAAGCTTTATAACATATATTATGTTATTCATTGCTACAGTTATAAATTAAACGATTTAATAGAACCAACAACAAAACGAATAATAACCATGTTTACACAGAGTGAACTTGGTTATGGTAGGCAAGGTTTGCCGCCTTCGTTCGTGCGTATGACTTGAACAGTAGACCGCTTTGGTGGATTATACGTGACTTACCTTTTCTCTGCTTCCTTTTTTCTGCATGCAAATTAACCACAAATAATGTTAGATAACAGTTTTATTTTGCTAAAATAAAACTACGCTAATTCTATTAAAACAAACGTATTTCTATTATATTAAAAATAAAATTACAAAACAAAACGTCTCACATAAATAATACCTGCAAACTAAACCTGCGATGTTGAGCCTTTCTACCTCCGCGACGTTTGGATATGTGTGGATTATCTCTGCAAATGGTTTTGCTTTTAAAAAGTTCCAGTTGCAGGTAAAGTCTTTTAAGTTCAGCTCTGATGTCGTCTGGACTCATGTCGGCCAAAGTGACCTCACCTACATCGACATCGCTATTGTTGCCCGTTAGTGGACCGTGTGCGTTAACATCCTGTCGAGGTGAAAATGATCATAATATTAAAGTTTACATAATTATGCTACATGCATATAAAGAACATACAACAAAAAATCAATAACGCGTCATTTGATAAAAAACGTACTTTACCGATTACTTTTTATGATCGAGAGTAAAATGAACATGTTTCGTATGCCTGTATTTAACTGATGAATCATTTAGTTTTTAACCGCATCTACTGAATTTTTACTTCCTGAGCTGCGAAATTTTTTTTTTCTGTTGGTGCATAACTATGTAAATGCTTCTAAATGTAAAGTTCAGATCTATGTCAATAAGAATTGGTGAGGTCGTAAAAATATTGCACTCTCGCCTCTAACAATTTTAAATGCGACAAGAATGTGAAGTTTTTACAACTTCATGAATGACATTAGGAATGCAACACAGAGAAATAACCCTTTATTTTTTACAATTTTTGTCATACAAGTCTGATATTCATAAAGAACGCTCTCACAGAAATTTCCATCTTTTATCTGTAACATTTTTAAATGTTTTGTCCTGTCCACTCAGATTTCCGGATTTAACTCCCGTCGAACACCTATGGGATATGATGGGAGTACACTAACGACATTACAAAATCCTCCGCAGGTCTTAGCTCCGCTGTAGCAGCAAATTCAAGTTGCTTGGGAAGAACTATCCCAGGAGGAAGAAATGGAATCCATGCCTAGGCTGTCAACGAATGCATTCAAAATGTCGCCAAACACAATTAATTTTGTTCCCCTTGTTTGTTGCTTCTTATGGTGGAAATTTTAACTTTACTATTTAATCAATGACAGTAAAACCAGCTTAAAAAAATTGTAATTTCTCGATGTAGCATTTCTAATGTCATTTAGTATATAATTCATAAAAATCATATTGTTACGCTCGTAGAAGAATGAAGTGTTACCAGATGCAAAATATGTAACAAAAATTTATCTAAAAAATGTACGTGTTGAAGGTTAACTATTTGAAAAAAAGTCGGCGCAAACAAATAGATCGATAGATAAGTAAACAAGTTTAATATCTGGAATATTGCGGTCTCTGCTATTAAAAAGAAACAAAAAATTATTCATTTTTAAAAATCATTTCTCAAAATTTTTGGCAAGTTTTATTGTTCAGTTTTTCTAAAAGTTATTAACCAAAACAACTCTTTCTCCACTTCAAAGATGCAGAAAAGAACTATATTCCGGTTTACAAGCATTAGTGAAGAAAAAACATTTCTTCCTTCATTTTACGTTGAATCTGTCTGAGAATGCACATATTATGCTAGCTAGTACTACAAAACAACGTAGTTCTTCTTGAATATTTTAAAATAAATAAATAAATAAATAATTTTCGTTTGTAAACCCATCTACTCGTATTTATAGGATCTAAACCACCAGTTATTTCACGAATATTATTTTTCATACAATTTTTCACGATTATTAGATCTAGGATTTGAATTTAAATGATTGAGCTCTCTACCCCTATACTGTTATATCTTCCATTTACACATACATCGTTTATATTTTTATTTTTCTACATTTATAAAAACAATCATTGTGTACCTAACAAAATTAACTTTGATAATATTACACGTTGTCATCTTTTTAGCCATCTTTTCTTTGTCCAATTTAATTTCTCCCACTCCTGTTAGTGAGTTTTTCAGATCCAACATTCCTCATATTTACCTGTAATTTACACAATCTAAGTACTTAGATAAATACAAAATTTCATCCTGCAACTTTTAATGTAAGACATATACACAATTGAAAAATTATGTATTAATTTAATCTTCCACAAACATTTCCGTAAAAATTAACATATTGAAGTGGGTACTGTCTTTATTATTAGTATTGAACTCGATACATATAGTAGACACATAAATAGACCTAATTTAGAGATACAATCTCTTTCTTATATGTGTGAGCAATTAAAGATAATTGCAATATACTTAAGTATTTTTTTTAATAAACTCCTGACGTTTTAATAAAAACCAGACATAATTGTGTGGATTGCATTTCTGCTCTCAGTCTCTTTAAGAAGTTCTTACCATTCGGAATATATGCCATACGAATCAAATAAAGGACAAAAATTCAAAATTGTATCCACTGTTGGTCTCGAGAAAGCTAGCAACCTAGTAATTAAGTTCTAATCAATTTTTTGGTAGAAAATTTTAAACTTTAGATTTTGGTTGAATATAAGTGATACAATATAAGTTAGTATAAGCCTTTGTTAAAAGCAGTTTTTAAAAAACCCTTTAGTAATAGAAGTAAGCAAAGGTACTTTAAAAATGAAAGTGGTCTTTCAGATACAGTTATAAGAAAATACCTTTATAAAGCATTTTTGTTCAACGTGCCTTGTAAAGGAAAACAAATGTAAAAAAAAATTGAAAGACTATTATGTTGTTCACTTATGTTAACCGGAGCTTGATAAAGAATAGTTTCAATCTTATCTATTAATTTCTGGGAAAATTACAGTGATAATTTACCTCAGGTAGCTCTAGCCAATAAGAAAGCTTTATTTTTAAAAATTCAACCAATCACATTTCGGGAAAAAATGTTTTCGATAATTTTTTAAAATGTTCTCAATAGATTAAATATTCCGAGTGCATCTCAAATTATAAACAATTTTATTCAATTTTGACATATAAACAAACGTTTATTTTGCCGTCAGTAGGCCACTAAAGCTTTGGTATATCCGGTAGCACCATAAAATTTTTAAACCGCTAGCGAAATAAAATTTTTATTTTGCTGTTTTAAAACCATGGTTACCATTTCTGTAATTTCTCCAGTGTCTTGCTGCTCTTTCCATCTGAGGATCTGGTCTTTTCTGGGAGCAAGTTTTGTCGTTAGAATCTTGCATGATTTTGCAATTTTTCGATAATTTTAGTTTGTTTAAAATAAACAAACACCGTCGCCAGAGTCACATACTACACACACACACCTGATATTTGTACACTAAATTCTACGCATATAAAACTTTTATTTGGTCGCTGTCAATTCTGACGTTTCTCGAGTCTGAACTTTGAATCACCAATTTTTTCACAATTTGGGACTTGGGGTTGTCAAAATTGAATAAAATTTTGTATTACACTCGCAGTTAAAATGAATGTGTAACTCGCGGTCTTAAGGCGCTCGCGGCATACGCCGCTCTCGCCTTAAACTGACCGCTCATTAAACATTCACTTTAACCGCTTGTATAATAAATAACTATTAATTTTTAGGGCAATTTAATTTGTACGGGTGGATATTTTGTAGACTATTTACTGAAAAAAAAATGTATATTTATCATTCTACTCCAACAAAATTATAAGATTAACATAATTTACGCAAAAATTATGAAAAATCAAATATTTTTTGGATCTGTAGGAACAACCGTTCCCACAAAATCAGGTGTTCTACCTGAGGGCATTTGTAATATTTGTATAAATGTAAATATTTCCTATCCTTCGTCTACCTGCCCTACACTTCTTCATACTTTCTCTTTTCGCTTCTGGAACTTTCTAAACCCTTCTTTACCTACTTCCACCTCTTCAAATCCGAGCTTACCTGTGTACCATTTTAAACACCCTTCCTTCTTCTCCCTGACACCCTCGAACAGTAAAGAACAAAATAAAAACCCAAAACCGTACCGTCGCTTTTAAATCACCAACAATACCCACAACTGGTGACCCCGACGTGATTGAAAGAAGAAAAAAACGTGAGTATTACCAGTGATCGCGACGAGTATAGTGCGGAATTTCGAGTGAAATAAAAACTATGGCGTCAAACGCGAATTCACCCGCGCCCCTGTCATCAACCGAGTTGGAAAAATTAACATGGATGGAAGACATCGCGGCGGTCCTCCTACAGAGGCTGACTGAAATAGAAGTCCTCCAGGCATCGCAGCCCCAGAACCGTTCGCCCTCAGACTCGCGGCCAGAGACATCGTCGCGTTCGCGTTCGCGATCGGGATCCCGTCATCGAACGAAAGGCGACAGCGGTATTTGCTATTACCACTGGCGTTTCGGCGACACGTCAAGAAGATGCGACAAGCCGTGTAGGTACAGTTCCCTGTCGGCGGGAAACGCCGAGGGCAGTCGTTAAAGACGGCCATTGACGCCTGCCCCACCACCCCTACAACAACATCGAGCCGTTTATTCGTCACCGAGAGGACAACAGGTAAAAAATTCCTCATCGACACCGGCGCCGATCTGTGTGTGTTCCCGCATGCCCTGCTACCAAAACCGCGTACGAAGTCCGCATATGAACTTTCCGCGGCAAACGGCACCGTCATCGCAACGTACGGAACAATCACGTTGTCGTTGAATTTAGGCTTACGACGCGATTTTACGTGGAGATTTGTTGTCGCGGACGTGGTGAAACCCATTATCCGAGCCGACTTCCTGGCTCACTACGGACTCCTGGTGGACATAAGAAACCAGCGACTACACGATCAAATTACCCAACTCACTTCCATCGGAGAGGTGACTGAGTATGAGATCCCGTCCGTAAAAACCATCGCCGGAAGTTCACCGTTCCACGAACTCCTCCAACGGTTTCCCGATGTCACACGTCCAGACGGAACCCCTAAGGCGGTGAAACATTCCACCCGCCACCACATCGTAACCACGCCGGGCCCTCCCATTGCGCAACGTCCCCGAAGACTCGCGCCCGACCGACTCCAGGCAGCAAGAAAAGAATTCGACGCCATGGTCCAGCTAGGAATCGCCCGCCCTTCCCAAAGTTCATGGTCTTCACCGCTTCACATGGTGCCCAAAAAGGGCGACGAATGGAGGCCATGCGGAGATTATCGTGCCCTCAACGCGAGAACCTGCCCCGACAGGTACCCGGTGAGGCACATCCAAGATTTTGCGCAATCCTTACACGGCAAAATCATATTTTCAACGATCGATCTGGTACGCGCATTCAACCAGATCCCGGTCGCAGAAGAAGACGTTCCGAAGACTGCCATTACCACCCCATTCGGCCTGTTTGAATTTCAATTCATGACGTTCGGCTTACGTAACGCAGCGCAGA